GCTGAACCCACTCTCTCACCCCCACTCCCACCTGCACCTCCACGCCAGCTCCTCTTTGGACGAGCCAGAAACCAGTCAGTCTGAATCGGAGCCCGAGAGCCCGGCTCCGTCCCCGGAGCTGGACTTGATCGGCTCGTACCTGTCGTGTCCGGGCCAGAGCGGGTTGAAGGCGGGCCGCGACACGTTCTCCTTCACTGAGCCACCGTTCCCCACGCGGCCTGAGATCCAGCAGGAGGTGCTTTGCTAAAAAAAAAAAAAAAAAAAGACGACTCTCTGTTGGGGGGGGTTGTCTCCCAAGAATGAACTCAATGGGAGGTCAACTGAAAGCCTTTCGCTTCTCAGTCCGACCTGGGCCGGCGCCACGCTCCATGGACACTGTATGTCTGCTGCTGGCTGCTTCAACTGCTGTGATGCCTTCAAACTGAGCTGAGTGTAGTTGAATACCCGTGAGTGTGTGTGTGTGTTTGTTTGTTTCGGATCGTCTGTGAGAATCAAACTTGCTGTTGCTGTTCACCGATGTGGACGAAGGCGCACATGGCACGTGGGTTGGCTCCGGGGACCGCACCGCTGCCTTAAAAAAGTGACAAAACCCCAGGACTCCCGAGACTGAAGGTCACGACCCCACACGCACACACTGTCCCGTTTTCTCTCTTCACCCAATTAGCCTTTCTGAGGAGGAGAGGCAGCCTCCTTCCTCCTTGGGAAATGACTTCACCCTTCTGTGTGCTCTCATCAAAACATGTTATGCTTCTGCTGACCCAGACGTACCTCCTGTGATGAGTTTCGGCCAAGGAAGTGAAGGGTTTCGACAGGTGGTTCTGCTTAACCAATGAATTAAAGCGGCGCGGACCCTACCACACTGAGGCCCCCATGTTCACTTCTCCAAACTGTTTGTTATACTTATTTATGTGTATAGTTCAACCACTCCGTCCCCCCCCCCGCCCAAAGCCACTTTGATGTTCGACTCTGAAATCAACATGACGGATAGAATTTACTTTGAAAGGACAATCGAGCACTTTTTTTGTTAATGGACTTCTGCGCAAAAGTGAAGAAGTGAGAATAAAAAAAAAAACCCCAACAACAACAACAACCAAAGGTTTATATGCAGCACCGTCGCCTGTCACAATGTACTGTAATTACTGAGCGTCAGCTTCACCTTCCACTGTTTTGTCACAACGCAGGTTTTGTCCTATTTTGTCAACGTCAAATCTCTGGTCCGTGGTCGTGCTATTATGTTAGATTTTGCACAAGTTGCACACTTTTTTTTTTTTAATTTAACCACAATTCACTGAGGTTCAGATCCTTCCACACCAGCGATGTTCAGAGAGACGAGCAGATCTTTAGAGCAATTCTAGTACAGCTGTGCCGCGGACCTACAGGATGCAGATGTTATTAGATTTCATTTGTACACTTCCGATAAACGTCGAAGTGTAATACGTATTAAAGAGTGTGTATAAATGAGTCTTTTAAGGGACAAGAAAAAAAACAACTGTTTTTTTTCCTAATTTTCAGGTGAATACTGTTTAATGAATCTGTTCATGTTGCTATTGGTGAAAAAAAAACAGAAATGAAGAACCCATGGATATTTGTAAAATATTTGCCTTCAGATGTCTGGGACAAATGCATAGTTTCTCAAAAGTACTGAAATGTGTATTGTAAGGTAGTATTAGATACGATATGTAAGGATATTTGTCGTTGTTTTTTAATGTGTGTGTGTGTTTTTTTTGTTACTGTTTTTTTTTTATTGTCATTAAACACGGAGTCTTGTTTTGTACATTAACTTTAACTGGTTGGTTTCTGCTTCTGAATTTCAGGCAGGTTTGCACTTGTCCTCGTGGACTCTGTTTAGTTGGAGATATGCTAATGGCATGCATTGCAACATGTTACTAAGGAAAATAAATATACATGTGCGTTTTGTATCTGACTATCTACTGTCTCTGTGTCATTGTTTTAAAGCAGCAAAGACTTTGAAATCTGAAATCCAAACCACATTCAGATTGTCGTCAGAACAGGAATAAGAAAAAAAATACCACTTATAAAAACAAGATGGCGCTAGTGAGGTCTGCTACCGAATGAAGTGAAGTGTTTGTGCTTTTTCTATTTTCAAAACATATCAAGCGGACCGGATTGAACCTCCTAGTGGGCCAGTCTTGGCCCATGGACCGTATGTTTGACACCCCTGGTCTACTGCAAAAGAGAAACTTCACCTATTGGTACTGATTTCAAGAACAAGGGACAGAATTAGACATTTGTGAATTCCTTTTACGTACAACCAGAAAATGGACCAAAATAACCGTGCCAGGTTATGTTGGTCCATTTTCTTCTCAGGTGATGTTAATCAGCCAATCAAATCCAAGCATTCAGACATTTGAGAGTCTTTGCCTCTGAGTGACCCAGAGAGGGGGGAAAAGAGGAGGTAATTATCAAGGTGTGTTCAAACAGACGAAAGTAGATTTAAAAAAAAAATCTACACTACAGATATTTATTTTGACAAAACAAATAAATAAACCCCTCTCCTGAGCCATTCTTCCAGAAATATCCAGAACAGGAAGTGCCAGCGTTCTGTAGAGCTGCTGAAGTTTCTTTTTTTCTTCTTTTGTCTACTTCTAACGTGCTCGCTCGCTTGCCTGTTTACCCCTGTCAGGTTGAACNNNNCATCCTTGTCTTGGACTATCCTCCTTCCCTGCTTTTATGTGCTCTTCCTCTTGCAGTGGGCTGCGAGCCACTTCAGTGTCCAGCGAGCAGAAAGTGCAGCTCACTCCGAGGTCCAGCTCCGGTGGCCTTTTGGCTGGAGCGTCTGTTTCCCCCTAAAGAAAATCCTGCTGTAGCGCACGGAGCCAAGGAATGTCAGAAATGTCTATAACTGCCCTCCTTCCTTTTTTTTTTTTTTTTTTTCAATCCTCGTCCTTTATGCCCCTCTCCCTCCTGTCCTCCATATGGATTCCTCACCTCTGCGGGAGGCAAATTTGTTCCCACACTGCAGCGCCCCCACCAGCACGCTACACAGCCATTCATGCGGTTGATTAATTGGTGACTTCACACAAGGAATCCTGGCCTCGTCTCCTTTGACTTTGGATAGTGGAAGTGACCATTAGAGGGAGATTTAAGACAGATGTTGGAACGCTTTCTTCTGCCTCTGACTCCTGAGGATCCAAACAAATTTAAAGAAGCCCACCAAAGCTGGTTGTCGCATCCTGATAACCCCGCTTTCAAGATCACATGTGGATTGAACCTGAGTTCTGACTAAATGGTTTCAAAGCAGTAACATGTACCGAACTCCATCTGTCATCCTTGAGTTTGTGTAAAAACAGACAGTAGAGCGACTGTTATTTTTCCTCCTGTTGCCCCATGCCCACAAAGCTGCTCCACTGTGTAAATGTACTTTACACCAGTCAAACCTCGTTCAGACATCGGGGCCGTCGCACTTTGATCCCTTGAGGTTTTTCGGTGTTTGAAAATGTAAACTTGTAGCAAAGCCAGACAGACCTCATTCCGCGCTGCTGCAGAGTTCAAAACGGTCACTTAAATGTTGTTTGACAGCAGGGTGATACTCTGACTGCAGCTTTTCCATCCGCCGGGCTTTTAAAAAGCTACAAGGCCGAGTCACACTGTACTTTCCATAACTGTGTGAGAGCCGAGGTTGGTTTGATGAAAAACACACCTCATGTTCGAACACGCTCTGCAGTCCATTTGGTAAGACAGTGCTGTCTTGATCAAAAGAGAAGAGGATACTGGTCCTCAAGTTGCGAAAGAAAGCTATTTTGTAGCTTTTTTTTAGCCACTGTCCATATTTTACAACAGAAAAGCACATAAATATCGCAAAAGAATATGTAATAAAATATAATGAGACTTGAACACCATGCTGATATACTCGCAGGAATTGAAGAAAGGCGCATACGGAAATCATTTTCAACTCTCTCTCTTTTAGGTTAATAAAAAGCAATAGTTTTCAGACAAATACTAATTTAAAAATCATTTCCATAGTACACCTGAGGAGCTCTGATGGTCATCCGGTTCTCAGCGGTGTCCCTCAGGTAGCACCGAAACTCCCCGGGCCCCATTCACTCCATGACCCGGGTGAAAACAACATCCTGTCAACCCAGTTAGGATGAGGATTCCTACATTGTTTTACCATAACAACTGTGTGTCAAGAATTCTGCCCTTGGAGGGCAAATACCATGAGGTTGTGAGAAGAGAAGAAGCCTCTGGGATGAGATGTGAAAAACAGTAACTTTTAACCTCCAGCACAAATAACTACGTCATCTTCGGCTTCAGTTTGAAGCAAGGGAAGTGTCACATTCAAAATGACTGTCTCTTGCACGCAGTGAAGTTGCCCCCTAATGGTGTTCCACGACTTTCATGGTGTCACTTTTTGAAATGGAATGCTACCTGTTTTGATGTTTACGTTCAATGGGCAAATCATTTAGCAAGAAATTACCATCAACTATAAATAATAAAAATAAAATGTGAAGGTAGTTATATATTTTTTAATTTCAGATTAATGCTAATGATATTATTACTATTTTCAAAGTCCTAATAATAGGTTAAATTACACAAGTTCCCTTGTGAATAATTGTTTGACAGCCCTTTTTAACTTCATAAACTACATAAACATAGAGCAGGGGTGTCAAACATAAGGATCATTAGGCGGTTCAATCCGGCCCGCCTGATGAATTGTAAGGTAAAAATAACAGGAACATTTCGCGGTTATGATATGTTTTGTAAAGTGGTTAAAACATGTCTGTACTAATTGTTGAAGAGTCAACCCTTTGTAGTACTTTGACATACTGTACCGTACACCTTATGTATATAACTAGCACATGTCACTGCAGTCACTGTGAAGCACTCCTCATTCCAAGAAGTCAGTTAATGCTGAGAACATTCGTTTAATTCGATTTCAATTAAAAGCTCATTTTTCTAGGCCAGTCTGTCACTCTCACAAACGTCCTCCTCCTGCTGTCCAGGGAACCCTCCCCAGCTTCTCCTCCCTCCTGATCCCACTGACCTCCTGCGCCGCAGTGTCTCTCATCTCATCTTTTAACTGTTCTGTTTTTCTCCCTCGCTGTCTCCCTCAATATCACTATCTCCAGATCTCTTCCACCTTCTCAGAACTACACGTCCCCCTCGCACCTTACATAATGAGGAAATTCCTTCATGCTTATGTTTCTGATTATGTTGCTATTACACAGCCAGTACACTAATGTCAGAGCCATTAAAAAAGCACAGAAGAGTCAGAAAAACAACGTTGGCTCCCCCGGGGTCGGTTGGCCTTTGACCTTCAAAACTGTCACTCCTCAAGCCCGGTGTCTTTATAAATATTGCCTGAGTTCATCGTCGCGTCACGAACGTCTTATACAATGTACACAGCCATTCCAATGGTTTTCCCCGTAGGAATGTTCTCATTTGGGCTCCACAACACTCTCACCACTCCCTCACAATTAGTTTGCACCCGCTTCACATTCCAGGGTGAAGGTCAGAGTTAGAATCCAGCAGACCTTTACAAGAACCTTGAAGACTCGTGAAAGCCTGGAATAAGTTTAAGAACTGTGGCCCAGAGCTCTGGGGCTTCAGGCGTCAAAGCACGATCGACAATATTTCATTGTCGCATCCTTGAACAGTCAGTACGGTTGAACGCTCAAAAACACTAGTGGACCGTGAAAATGTTACACACACACACACACACACATATATATATATATATATATATATATATATATGTCAGTATATATGTATATATATATGTGTATGTCAGTATATATATATATATACACACATATATGTCAGTATATATGTATATATATATGTGTATGTCAGTATATATATATATATACACACATATATGTCAGTATATATGTATATATATATATATGTCACTATATACATGTATATATAAATATATATGTGTCATATATTTATATATATGTATATATTTTCGAGCTATATTTGATTTGAATTTTTTTTTTAAATACATTTCAGTCGACCCCATTTGAATTCCAGGTCGACCCCGCATGGGTTCACGACCCCAAGGTTGAAAAACGCTGCTTTGGGTTGTCAACATACACAATCATTAAGATTGTAAAAAGAGAGATTAAAGGCATCACAGGACATCTTAGAACAACAGGATAAGTACCACGTGGCCAAAAGGACTTTGTACAATTTTAGGATATCACTTTCCAGTCCACGCTGTCGTAGTAGCTTCCAGAAGCAGATTGGTGATGAATTTGCTTAAATAATCTTGTTGAAAGTGTGCAGTTTAATGAAACATGTATAACGTATATGTTGACGAATAAGATACCGACAAGTTGGACTTTTTTTTTTATAGAGAAAGTACCTCTAAAAACCCTTCTGTGACAAACAAGTGAGAGCTGGATTCACGGTCAGATTTCAAAAATTTTATTTACCCCTGTGGGGCAATTCAGTGTGCTAAGGAGGCCTGCTGGTACATTTCCACTTACTACTTCCTAGTTTTACACAACTGTATATTTTTCTTGCCCCAATTAAAGCCACAGTCACAAAAGGCTAATTCAGGGCGTTTTGGTCCAACCCCCCCTCGCGAATTTCTGACCCTGGTGACATCACACGTCTCCTGTGACTGTGTTGACCTTTCGGAGGCTGGTAGAAGGAAATCATAGGAGGATGAAAACAAGTTTAAAGTTTTAAAGTTTGCCATGTTCCATTATCGGACATTGCCAGCAATTAAAATAAATAAATAAATAAAGATAATAGTCTTTTACGAATGTTTGCAAAATAAAAGCAAAGAGAGAGTTTCCAGAGGAGGCGAAGCTCTCGTAACCACAGGTAATATGTTTCTCATGGTGGTGCATTCACTGAGAGGGGGGGAAATGCCTTTGGTCAAGCAGAGTTATTTATTCTGTGCCTAGAAACAGCTAAAGAACAACAAAAGCACTCTCAACAAAGAGAGGCATGACCTGATGCTGCTGCCTGTTTTCCTCCGTTTGTGGGGACCGTATCCTCCACCGCACAGTGCACTGCTGGGAATCCACGCACCACACAATGGCCACGCTGAGTTCAGAAAAAAAAAATATCGAAGAAATCCAAGCCAAACAAAGGACACGGTTAACTTAAGACCTTTGAGGTTCAATTCCACTGCGGTTAAATAAAATAAAATCAAAAACCTGGCCAGGTCTGTTGTTTGGATTTGCAGGAATGAGACAAAAACTGAGCAACACTTGCCCGAGTGGCGACGTGAACTCTGTCTGATCTGACTCTTCGAGTGAAGAAGGGAGTCCAGGACTGACCAGGAACAAATTTTGAGGTCTTGATTTTGAAATCAAATTGCTCTTGATGTTTACTGTAGTTCCAGACGGGGGAGTGGGAGTCTGTTTGCCAGAACCTCAATAGGATTCTTCTAGGATTCTGCGTCAAACTATTCTCCCTACTGGAAACATAGAAAGGCACCACTTGTGAGCATTAGTAGTTTGAAAGGCGTGAAGTGAGATTTTTAATTTAGAACTAAGTATTTTTTCTGGATCTCGTCAATTCTCCGCTAATCCTTTCAATCTCATTTTACTGCAGGATTCAGAAAAAATGTCAGAAATGTAGCCATCATATCTTTGAGCGATTATCACTTTGGTCATCCCTGTGTTCTCTCCCATCTCAGTTATGCAAGTTATTTACATGTAGAACTATGTGTACGCTCACACACTGTCTTTGCTTTCATGTTGTTTGCTGACGTCTAAACAACAGAACGATAAGTCAAAGAGGTCACGAAAAATATTTGGGACAACAATGTTATCTGGATGAAACCCTGTACGGGTGGAGCGCTTCTAGTCCTTTGAGTAAAAGGACTCGTCCGCCCTCCCAGAATCACCTGGACTTTCTTTGAAAAGTTCTGAGCAGCCTGTCACTCATAAACACATCTGTCAGTCAACAGAATTCCTGATGTGACAAAAAAGTTCTGAGCAGCCTGTCACTCCGTCAGTCAACAGAATTCCTGATGTGACACCTTAGCGTAGCGCCCTCTTGACAGCATTGGCAGCTGCTTTACTTTTGCCGCGTAAGCAGCAACCAGTATCAGTAACCTTTAACAAATAATATTATTCACGCAATTTTAAGATAGCTAAGGACAATCTGCGTCAACAGCACCTTGTTACAGACTATATTATAGCGGAGAACAAAGGTTTAGGCAGTGCGCTAATCATTATTTACATGCGTCACCATGGTAAAACTCTCCATTGATTTGCCGCAGAGGTACAAGTAATGAGCATGTAAACACGCTAATGAGCGAACTTAGTCATGTAAGCAAGGTGCAAGGTTTAATTATGGTACATTATAGGAATTGTGTTGATTGTAGATCATACATTGAACAGAGTGCAATGACGAACATATGCAATATATTATTATTAAGACGCTGTGAATCAGCTATTATCTTAGCCATTTTTAAATTCAGACCTTACTACATGTGACCAAAGTCTATGTCCCTTCAGGTCAATTTGTCTTCAACAAGCTTTGATGTCATCACTGTTAATGGTTTTTATTTTTATTTTTTCAGTTTGAAGCAGAAAACAGGATTTACAGCTGCAAAGACATGTCTGTTATTTTTCTCATAGCAAAAATTGAGTGCAAACTTACATAAATGAAAACACAAGATGTTCTCCTGCCAATCTCTGGTGTTTGTTTTAGATAAGGGAGCAAAAACAACTCGATCTTTTGGGAGTTTGTGTTCTCAGACTGTGAGCACAGTTCGTGTCCTGCAGCTTTTATGCAACAGTATGAGTTGAAACTTACATAAACCTATAAATACGCAGAGCTTACCAATCCCTGACAACACATGTTAGTGTATATTTATATGCACATGTCTCTAAGTAAAACCATAAAGGAAAAAGAAACCCTGTTTGTTTGTTTTTTTGTCTTGCATAATAAGAACAACAATTGAAATGCTGTGGTTTTCCTATCATGCTAAGACAATTTTACATTAAATAAAGTTTTAAGATGTTAAAAAGCGATAAAGACAGATAACAGTAACAGTAAGACTGCTGTAACTAAAACACATTTACACAGAAAAGGGAACAGGATGTTTCTCATACGTTTGTCACAGACAGTTTCCTGTGACATCTCCAAAACCACAGAATAGAATCACACCTTAGTGTCTACTGTTATTCCTCACTTTACCAACTCACATGTCAAACACCGACATGTGGCAAACAATTACGTCTTTGGCCGTGAAGGGGATTTTATTTTGAAAAGTTTGTTTATATGACATACAGATACAGTAACACAAAGGTAGATGCAAAAGTACAAGGCTAAAACTGAGCTGAGGGAAGCAAAGGGTTAGCAGAGCGTGAACTTAGATGGAGAAAATATCAACGTTAACATAATTACTATTTAAATTAAAAAAATAAAATGCGTGATGGAGAAAATATCAACGTTAACATGATTACTATTTAAATTAAAAAAATAAAATAATAATTTAAAAAGAAGTTCAGCTTAAAAGGAGTTAAAATGTCACCAAAGGTTGTGGTAAAAACTGTGGGTTTTCCAAGAAGTAACTTAGTTATCCCAGAAGTAGCCCATAATTAGCATTAATTCATTTATAAAGCATATACTGCATAATTAAGCAGTATTGTGTGTGTGTGTTCTCTCTTGCTGCTCCTTTTGCCCGTTCAACCTTTATAAACCGACACCCTCAACGGTGACTTCTGTGTAATCATTATAACTTAACAGTCGGGAGACTGCATGACTGAGCGGAAGCAGGCAATTATTTATGAAGTGACACGCTAAAGAAAAGGTCCATTATGGAGACCTTACACAACTGCAGATCTAGTTTCCGCGTGTTTTACCGTTGTTCTGGCCCATTTGCCTTTATGTTGACAAATAAATCTGCAGTATCCAGTGACAGGCAGAAAAAGAGCTTCGGAACAGGTCATAAAAATATTTCACGATTTCTCGTGACACACTGAAAGAGGCCTTATTATTTCAAGGACCTTTGACGCACAGGCTGCGCCAACAGCACCACCACGAGGAAGTTTGCCACACTAACATATTTTACCCTTGGGCCACTGTACAAACACATCACAGGGAGTGAAAATAACACGAACTATTGTGCAGAACCTAGCATTAACTTTATTAACAAGATGGCTCTCGTGGTGTGAGAATATTTTTTTTTCTTTTCTGTTTTTTTTAATGAGGTTGGATTTCAGAACGAATCAGATTTATTTTTTACCATACATTAATTTGAATAAAACACATTGAACATTTGCAAAATATTTAAAAAAAAAAATTCTACTAAAAATACTTGAACAGAAACAGTTTTTTTTTCTGATTTAGCCTTGTAATATATATATATATATATATAATTGTGCTTTTTCTACTGTCACCAGGCTAAACATAAGTAATAAATTATTACCTTTGCCATGATAGCAATTCAAATTTAGGGGATTATAAGTTATTATTAATAAAATCAGGTGAACTGACTTCACGTATCCTAAACCAGACCACTTTGCTAGATTTTGGAATGATGACCTGGAATATTAAAAACTTTTGAAGACTCTTGGTGAGTCAAAATACATGATTCTGTGGCTCTTTATTATAGAACATTCAAGAAATGTTCTACAGTAGCTGCTTGACATCATAATAAAACAGTCAAAGTGAGTTTGACTTTACCAAAAGCCTTATCAAGTACAAAGAGTAGATGTGACACAGACATTTAACTGGAGGCAGCAAAGTTCAAAATGCTGAAATTTTTGTGAGGAGTGACCGGCAAGAAATATTGAGATAAAAGTGGCAGGAAAAGTGACGAGAGAGTTCGGACCGGAATCGGAGGCAGAAAGTTCAAACAAACACCAATTTTCCAGTTTGAAATAAAAAACAGATTATGTATTTGAAGCAGCTTGTTGTGTTTATTTCACAGATGTACAATTAAGCTGTGATCGTCCTTTTTCTTTCTCGGTCTGCCGTCTCCTGCTTGTGCACTCCCTTTCTCTGTCTCAAAAGGAAACAAATGTTCTCTGACAGAACACTAAAATTAAAAAATGTACAAGGGTACAAAAATTCCATCATGTTTCTTTAGAATTCCTTTCAGTGAGACTGAAAAAAAAAAAGATGTCAAAGCAGAGATTCAACAGTTGGCTTTAAAACTGACTGATATTTTGCCCTGGATTGTAATCCCTTTAAACCTTCAACATCTGGATGTGCTGACTCAGGTGTTGCCCCATGTTGACTAATGTTTCTAATGTATCTATTAGCTTCAAACTTCATCTCCTAGTATAATTACCCATAGTGCAACACTCTCACGCAGGTAAATATGCAAGTTTTTTGTTTTTTGCATAAATAATATAAAACTACATACAACACAGGTAAAATATAACGACATTAATGTAATAAGACACACGACAGATCTCAACTAATGCTATTTTCGCTGGAATGAATAAACAGTCATTTAAACTGAATAGTTTTATGTCATTAAGAATGTGTTGATGAGGTTAATAAGAAATGGCAGCATGCTGGACATCTGATGGAAAAAGTTACTTTTCCTTAAATTATGTAAGAGTTTAAGGACTCGAATAAATGTGAAATTCAATTTCGGATCCTATTTAGAGGAAATTATTTACTTAAGTAAACTGTAATAGTCATAATATCAAACAGAAAACGGTGTCAATGTCTCAGCCAAAGTCGACAGGTGACCATGGGAACCGCCTTATTACTCACAGAAACGACTACTGTTCAACAACACGCAGACAACTCTGAAGACAATAATTACGGAACACAAAGGTGACAAAATCTATTCATCAAACGTCCCCTCCAGGATGCTGTCAAATGTGAAGGGCATGAACTTGAAGCCCTGTCCCGAGTAGAACTTGTTTTGGAACTCCACCCTGCAGAGAAAACAGAGCAGCAGAACAATGACTGGGAAGTCCTTCAAAAAAACAAAAACAAAAAACAGACAGACGCTCTGCGGTGAAGGCTTCCAGGTTGTGTCATGCTAATGGTTGCGGTGACCTCTGGTCTTCATGCCACAGTCTGCAAACACACACACACACCTGCAGCCCTTATCATTCTGGACTCGGTTGTGAAGGCCAAGATATCTAAGCTTCTTCTCCACTGGAAAATGATCAGGCTCTATTTTTAAAACGGCCGCAGCCAAGTGATGGCTGGATGACCTTTTCATGGAGCTGCTACAAATACCTGCCATTCCTTAGTCTGTCAACGCTCTGCAAGACGGCCATCGCGTGCGAAGAAAAAAAACAAAACATTAGGACTTCGACGTGTCTCTAAAGTAAAGCTTTGGGAAGGAAATGCACCTGGAAAGAAAAATAAAAAGGAACAGGACAGGCTGAGTGAACACCTCACTGTTACACTTAACAGTAGCCTAGAACAACGGTTCTCAAACCCCCAAAAACAGCATTAGCTTTTAGCTCGGGACACCTTTGCAAACCCACAGACAATGCTTCAAAATATGTAAAGAAACATCTACTTTTACAATGTATTTTCTTACTTTCCATACACTAGCCAATAACAATTACATTTGTTATGCATAGGAAAATGTATTAACGAATATGCGCTAGCTAGCTACACGCTAGCCTAAAGAGCAGAGCAGCTAGGCACAAACTACCACAGTCTACACAGATTATGACGTCACGTTGAAGTTACAGTTTTCACATGAGGTGCGTTCAGGTACGATCGGTAACTTGAGAATCGGCTTTTACATATTGTATGGTTTTAAAGCTTATAAACAATGTGTATAAAATATCTATATTTTTTACATTTCCGCCTTATGGCAACCTACACGTTGGGAATGACTCGGAACACTGTAATAAAACAACACGACATAATGATCCGCAGGCTTAACTCTTCGTTTAATTCTAAAATTGCACTGCCCAATACAAGAAAGGCTTGAATCAACCAACGGTGGTTGATAACTGTGAGTTAATCCGGCCTCTCTCCCCGACCCTGTTTTCAAGACTACACTGGGAGGGAGACAAAGTTTAGTCTGTGGCAAGCTTGGTAATCAGGACTGCTGAATACCTGAGGACAAAGCCAGACACATTCGAGGTTACGGAACCGCAGAGTGTGTGGGAGACTGAGGATTTATTTGACACCACAGAAACACACTGTAAATCTTGAGTAACTCGGGTGTCTCCCTAAAGGACGCTTTCGCCCTGAAATGCGCTGGCGCATGAATCCTGTTCCATTCAGAACCTGACCTGTCGTCTCTAATTAACCGAATTCCACTGGCCGTCGTCATCACTAAAGTAGGGCAGTGAAATTCACTCATTTAATCTTTAGCAAAATATTCACACTTGTAGGAAGTTTGAATATGACTTATAACTCGGGTTACTTTGCCTTCAAAAATGAAATGAAAATTCCCTTCATGAGCGTAATGTAAGAGTGATAAGTTGTCTTGTGTACCTGAAAAGTTAGATTTACCCAGAAACCAATTCGACTGTATGTGCTTTTGTGCAACCGACAACCTGTAAATACACCTGGTGCCACCAGATAGTGCTAGAGCTCTGTAACAAACCATGTGTTATTTGGCCACAGAAGGCTGTAGTATTTCGTTATTGTATAAATATGTATGGCAGATATCACTACAATTTATATTCTATTTGTGTTTATTGATTTTTACATTTAAAAGCAAATAACAATGTACTAATAAATTAGCTACTGAGTCTGAAACAGCACAAAGGCAGAGACCCTGAATCTTACCAGTGTAGCCTCAGAGCGTGTAGGAAGGCGGACAGACCCTCCATGATGAGCAGAATGGCTACAGTGAGAATGGCGAAAAACACAAACACAAGGGACAGGAGGACGAATCCTGCGATGCTCCTGGAGGAGAGGCCGATGCGCATCACCATGGACCACAGCACCTCCGACAGTTCTGTGGGACGACGCAGAAAAACACCGAGTGAACCGCTGTGGCGTTGAACCCACTCGAGGGGCCTTTAATCTGAGATTATAGTCACTGCGAGCTCGGAGGCTACAGACTCACGCGCATGAGCCAGGCTGAGGGCCCAGAGCCTCAGGTAGGAGGCGGTGTTGGAGATGCAGCCCAGGCAGTATTCTATGGTGTGGATGGCCTGATGGACTGCCATATCTGCAAAGTTAAACTTTGGGAGACAAAAATATCAACATTAAACTGTAGAAGACAACATTTGTAGAACAGTTTCTGAAGTGTGTATGATTGACCGCCCTCATAGAAATCAGAAGAGAAACCATCATCTAAGAACCAGGTGAACCCAAAAGAAACAGCCGTCCAGTTATACACCCTAACACATAATCACACCGTAATGAAGACCACGGCCAACGGCACAAGCTACACCACAACTCCCCCTAACCCACGTCTCTGGAAAAGCGCTAACCACACATCGACTTAGCGCATACAGTTAAGGAGTAGCAGCTACCGAATTACAGCGTAACCTGGTGTTAATAAAGTCAGGAGAGGGAAGAGGGAGGATTTTTTTTTTTTTCAGCATGCACTTTGACAAAGGGTGAGGAAAGGTTGCGGGGTGGAGGTGCAGCTTGAGTCCTACCTCTTCTTCCTCGGGGGCCTTGAAAGCAGTTGACAAAAGGCAACGCTTGGTTATTGTGAGCACACACACACACACACACACACACACACACACACACACATAGTAGACAGACAGACAGACATATGTAGCAGGGAAGTAATAAGAGAAAAAAAGTTAACTTAGAAAACCAGAGGAATACAAGCTCAGAAAATGTCAAGTCTGCTCAGGTGAGAGGTGCAGAGTAAGATGATGAAATAATACATCATATCACCTACGACAGAGCAAATGTTTATGCAAATGGTATTGTGACAGTGGTGGTATGAAAATCTAAATATATCGGGTTCATCTGATTAATGGACACAAAGGACGTTCCTGAAATATTAAGACAGTTATTCCCAAAGTGGGGAGTGGGCCTCTCCTAGGGGCCACACAATATCAGTTTCATAGGATTTACAGTTCAGGGAGTAGCTTCAAATGTGTCAACATTTGGGGGCTTCACAATAGTCAATCTACAAAATGGGGGGAGTATTAGGGGAAAGGTTAGGTCAAAGAGTAAGTTGGTTCACTGAAGATTACTTCAACTGAGTTACTGTGAGATACTGTGTTGACAAGATTGGGAGAAGACATGAGATCATCATTTATCAAATGATCAATCAGTTAAAAAATAAACAAAGCAGTGACCAACGGGTGGCGCCATAGACAAAAGTGACGTAAATTACACACCCATCTTCATCCTGCAGCCTAAAGTTAGCATTTGTAAACCATGTAAAACCAACCTGCCTAATGCATATTTAACAAATGACACTGTCAAAATGTCAAACGTTAAATATGGATGTGCCACGGTGTATCAGCTTCTTATTTTCCGTTGTCTCAGTGGCTTAATTATTCAAGGCCACGATAACGTAGATCCCGTTACCTAGATGAGAACACGGTACTGAGGCCAGGGCCTTCTTACCTCAGATTCTTCATCGCTTTGCTGAGCCAGCTGATCGTGTTGGATTATTTCAGCCTCATCCTCCGTGGGCCCGTTGCCGACCCTTATCCCGCCGAAATTCTGCGTACCCTACGACACGGAGAGGTGGAAGAGGCTAAAGTGAAAAAAAGAAAATGAACAATACCTAAAGCCACATCGACTGCTTTTCTATTTCACCGTACCAAGCGCCTTTGCCACATATGCTGCCGTCGCATTATCAGGGTTTTCACTATTAACATGCAGGGGATACAAGCCAAGGCAATGAGCACCAGGATGGTCTGTACGGCCATCTGGAACCAATGAGAGAAAACAGATTATTTCCAAGGCAGCTTTTCTTTGGACGGCCAGGAAGACGTGATAGAAAAACGTGGGACTCTGACCTGGCCACTGTACAGAGGCGTGCCGCTGACGTTGAACAGAAACATGTTGATGAAGGCAATGAGGAGACTGGGAGCCTCCTTGGAGGTGAACACATTGTATGCGATCCACTTGTACAAGACCAGAATGACCAGGTATCCGAACAAACTGACCATGAAGACAATCTCGGGGATGAAGCCAAAGTAGATGTTCAGTGGCTTCTGGAAGTAACTGCAGGGAACAGGGAACAGCGGTTAGAGCTGTGTCTGAAAAATCATGGAAACAGGAACAGGATCTAAGGTTTGAAAAGAGAACTGAAGTCTCACAGGTGATTGAAGAGGCTGAGACTGACTCCGAACAGCATGTGGATGACTCCGAGGACAATGGACATCTTCATCTTGAAGGAATTCAGGAATGTCAGCTTGTTGGTTGCGATGTTCCATATCTGAAAAAACGCAAGACAATTCGGGTTATTGAGGTGTAGAAAATTTTAAAGGTTTTCTAAATAAATATATATTTTTTTTTAATACATGACAGTCAAAAAAAATGCATTTAATACTCACTGGGTCGATGCCAATGGGGTATGGCCCTTTAAAAACTCCAGCTACTGCTGGATCCAGCTGTAGAACTTTGACATCCTCCAGTGTTTCATCCCTGAACCAGACCCAAATATGTTAAGAGCCGCAGAAGTAGAGCGCTAGCTCAATTTAGCTAATTCCACTTACGTCCAGTTGCCTCCAACTCGAGGGTCAAACATGGGCCTCACGCTCCAGCCCGATCCGAAGACATTGAGCGTCTTGGAGAAGCAGTCGTTGTAGATGATGCCCGTGTACATGGAGAATATTCCCATCAAAAGGATGATGTAACGACCGGCAAAGAGCATACTGAAAATCTGCACCAAAAAGAAACAAAGAACCAAAAATAAATAAAATTATCGTTTACATTTAAGTAGGAAGCACCAAGGTTTGTTTCACACACGAGGACGGTGTTGGACACAATGAATGGCAGTGATGGGAATTGTACCTCATTGTCATTCTTCTGTGCAATGAGCCTGCTCTCTCGCAACACGAGGTACAGAGCAGCACAGGTCATGAGAACGCCATGGCCCAGGTCGCCAAACATGACAGCGAATAGGAACGGGAAGGTGATGATGGTGTACGGGGCTGGAGATGGGATGTTTGGAGAGGGCAGGCAACACATGAGATAATGGGATCAAAACATTAGAGGAGTGACTAAAAAAATAAAAAATAAAAATAAAAGATGAAAGACAGCAGTTATGATCTGGGTGTGTTCCCGGTGATCAAAACGTGGCGCGGGCTTTTACCAGGGTTCATCTCACGGTAGTTTCCGATTCCGTACGCATCAACGATGTTCTGGAATCCCGAGGTGAACTTGTTGGTCTTGTTATAGGTGGGCGGAGTCTGCTTTGTCTGCATCCTGTTGAGAATGGAAGGCACAGTGGAGCCGCTTTTCTCCTAAAGTGCAGAAAATGATACACTTTTAGAAATGATGATTGCAGCAATACATGTAACCTTTCTATAAAAACCCAAATGGTCAAAAGCTCAGAAGCTGTTTCAATCTCATAAATTACAGTAAGGTTTTATTTTTTTTAACCTATCCTGTCCTGCAATTTAATATAATTAATTTCACATATTTTTATGTTAGACCAATTTATTTCAAAACAACAGATTGTGAATGGTGCCTTTGTTGCATAATTTTATGCTTACTTAAAGTGTAACGAATGTGAAAGGAGTGAAAGGGAAGAATTTAGGAGGAAAATTGTATTTTCTGATTGGCATATAACTGGATGTAACTGGAAGTCAACAACTGACTGGTAGTTTTTTGTTTTTTTTTGCATCGACGGCTCGTCAGTTACTCACCGTCCCTCGACGCAGAGCAAACTGGATGGAATCCAGTTCGGAGACGGGACACCACACCTCAGCGATCAGACACTTCTGGGTGACGTCGATGTTGCAGAGGTTGAGAGTGTGGTAGATGGCCTTCATCTTCCTCACCTTGATGAACCACACCCTCACCGTCTTAGCCGCCGCCTGCAGCACCCTCTGTCTGTGATCCTCGGTCTGGTTCAGCACCTACGGAAACGGACCGATAGAACAAGAAGTTGTCATGTGACCCCTGTTGCGAGTCACCTGTAACGGACACTAAGCTGTGCAAATAATTAAAGAATTAAAATTAAAATGTAATATTATTCTGTTTACACCGCATGACCTAAAGTGATTTGAGTTTAATTAACTTAATTATTTAAGTAGGCGAACGCCATTTAAGTCATGTTGTTTTTCAGGCTTCTCGTTTATCTTTTAAATAAACATTTCACGTTAAAACTTTTTCTGCCTAAGGCAGGAAGCTGACACTCCTAGTCTGGGTCTGCTCTATTCAGCTCAAACTCCCATTTTTTTTCCCTTTTGAAGTTTTGTCCTTTGTAATAACACTGACTTCAAGTCTTATCACTGTTGACGAAAATATGTAGCCTTCCCATCATTGTGTACCTCATCTGCAATTTATCTTAGCCAAATGTGGCCCTTCAGCTTCAGGACTTTTTCATGCAGCTCAGGCCTGTGTTGTGGCTCTGTTTTAGTTTTTTTGCAGCTGTGTCGAGCAGAGAAAACAGTACTGTCTGTACTTGTACTGTTACATGTATAATATCTGGAATCTGATAATAGTATTGTTATTTATGCTGCAACATTTTTTCAGGGATAAAGCCCCAAAAAAAAACCTATTAATAATAATAAATAAAAATAGCTTTTCATGTTAAAAAAACTCTGGCCTTTACTAATAAATTAGAAAAAAAAAATTAATGTCTTGACATTGACACATGCAGAGAAATATTCTTTACAACTAAAAACCTGTCTCATAGCGGTGTGAGATTAATATCCTTCCTCTTTTCCTGTAAAGTGTGAATTTTCACACACTAAAACCTTCTGATGGAAGTAATGAGAAAGAATAAGGTTTGAGGGGAAAAAATGGAGTTTTCCTACCATTTGAAGGTCTTCAATGCGAGCGTTTACCCCAGCTAACATCTCTTTCCTCTCCTGTGGGGTTTCTGGACAGGGGTACAAAGTGGCCCTGAATCTAAGGAGAAAAGAAGTACAACTTAAAATCCAAGATACTGTGGCTGGAGCTCCTGAGGTTTGATGAGATTCACTGACCCCTCGCAGATCTTCTTGACTCTGTTTTTCAACTGGTCTCCTTGAAAAAAGATGATGAAGACTGACTTGTGGACTTGGTCGCCCTGCAGAACCGCCATGTATAAACATTAATGGTTTAGTCTGAAGACATTATATACGATCAACGTTGATTGATTGATCGATTTGTGCAAAATGGTACTGACTGTTGCTGGGTCCTCCAGAGGATCTTCGATGTCTGCCTGGCGCAGGAAGACGTTTCCCCTGCAGACTCTCCACAGCATCCTCTCAAAAGTAGGAATACGCTCTCTGCCGATGACACCAGCTACAAACCTGAAACAAATGGACAAAATGTCACTGTTGTTACTCGTTGAGGAGAAAAATGCAGGGATGACAGAGCTCCTTTGCTACTTTTTACAGTGGGAAACCCCAACAAGAAAAACATTGTCTAAAAAACAAACAGGTCATGTTGTATAGCACTTATTTTGAGCATGTTAAATGGCAAAAAAAAAGGTTGTTAGCTTCATAACATCCATTTTGATTCAGTATCTCAATGTATTCTGCTGACGCTCAATTTCATAAAGAAAATATTTTTGAGAAGCTCAGTCTAATTTACAAAAAGAAACTTACAACACCAACACAAAAGACAGACCGCTGAACTATCAACTACCAACACCGCAGCAATGACAAACTTGTCCTGCAGCCTGTGGTATATGCAGTTGCGATACAAACTGTAGAGAAATCTCTTTCCTGTTCACTCTGCAAATATAAATTCTACAAGTTTTAAAGCAGAAAACGGGCCAATTATTTACGGAAAAAATAATTAATGACCCTTGGTCTGTATGTGTTAATTATTACAATATGAAACTTTGCACAGATATAAATATAACAAAGGTGATTAATCTTTTTTTTTAACAGATAATGATCAGACATGACAATATAATGTGTCCGTTTAACTAAATGTGAAATATTAAAAAAAAATTATTTATATATATATATAGTTAATATTATGGTTTGTCTATTAAAATGTTAGAACTTTTTTTTTTTGGTTTTCTATAGAAAACAATCATGTTCCATTTGAGGAGGAATTACTGCGTCAGTTTTTAAGATATGTTTTCCTGAGTGTATTGAACATCTCCGTAGCAGAAACGACTCACCCCAGTCTGAGAGGAGCCCCTCTGATCACCTCACTGGGATCCAAGGGGGCATGAGTTTCCTCCAGCAAACTGGGGTCCTCCATCTGAATGAGTGTGAGAAAAAAAAAACACACCAGATAAGAGAACTTTGGCTGAAGAGTTAATGTCTAAAGAGACACTGGATGTGTTTGGGTGAATGATTCACCTCTATTACAGCTCATGACAACATGTAAAAGGTCACTTAACAATGCAACACACACACATTTGTACAGGCAGTGAAGTGAAAAGGAAGTGAACAACACAGTAGTGACATAACAGAATTTAAAACCATGCTGAAAAAAACCTCCATTCATTTAAGTTTATATATGTGTGTGTTAAAATATAAGACCCTTCATTTTTAACATTTCATGCTGAAGTTACACGTTCTTGGTGGAAACACTTTCATTTATATCAAAAACAACGTATTACGCAAGACGGAATCGACATTTTCAATTAAGCTGACCTCGTCAAAAAATTGCTGCGTGCGTCGCAGAATGTGCTTGAGCTCAGTCAGTTCCAGAAAGTTTTTCTTTAGTGCTTCTTGGTTAGTGTTGATTTCCTTCAGCTCATTCTCCAGTTTCTCAAACGTGGCCTGTTGGAGCAGCACAAAAAAACACGTCAGCATCGGTGCGAGGCAATAAAAGGCTTAGCGCTTGTTTATTTGTTAGAAGAAAAAAAACTTCATCACCTCCAGGTCAATCATGTCCCTTGGAAAAGGGACTTCAGGGTTTTCTCCTGTGTCAACTATTGCTATATTTGCCTTCTTGATTTCTTTCTCCACAAACCCTGCAAGAAACAAATTTGGATATTATCTGTCTTCCCTCCTTTATTTTTTATTAAGTTCAAACTCATATATATAATATTAAAGTCTTTAGACTTTACAAAAGGATAACTTTACCACCTTCTTACAGTTAAGCTTTGTTACCAGCTAAATTGTATTTTTTTTATTGTATTTTTACTTTTTTATTGTTTCAAACCAACTCCACTGACAATATACGTAGAGTGATTTGTCTCCCAACCAACCGAAAAGAGACGCTTTCAGCCGAGCTAGTATTCGTAAGTTCACGTACTCAGTTTGCGATCCATCTCCTCACATCGTCGCACTTCATTGACGAACTTTCGTTGAAACACATTCACATCAGGATTAAGCTGTCGGGGAGTAAAAAGGGAGAGGTCAAATTTTAGCATCACCATCATCAGCAACTTTAAACACATACATATCACTGATCATCAACTGACAGCCAAACCCAGCCCAACTCACAACTGGACTCCAAAATATACAGGACCTTATAATGTCAGAGAAAAATATGATTTTTATCTCATTTTATGCAAGTGTCCAGAAAAATTCTGGTGTATGTAGTTGGGGACCTCGGATGTATATACAGTATTTCATTAAAGGTTGGAAACTTTAATCTTTAAATATTAAAACAGTTCGAATGAATAATACAGCACTGCTGACTTTCTCCAGTTACTCCTCAGCCAACACTGCCACACAAATGCTTCCCTCAGGTCCTGTCAGGAATGGCCTTACATATGCATGGAATGAGGGATCAGCTGTAGCCACATGATAAACATGATGTAGAAAGCATGCCCTTTGTCAACAGTTTTGCTTAAGAAAAATGTCAAACAGAAAGTGGTATTTAACTAGTTTGGGTTTTTAGATGGGAGTGGTGAAGAAAATAATTAAGAATTGTTTTAAATTGAGAGAAGATTTTAGGAAAGACCAAATACAAACTGACGGACTATTGGTGATTGAGCTGTGTCAGTGAAGAGCTGTACTTGATCACTGAAACAACTTGCTCTTGTGTTTGCTCACATGACCATTCAGCACATCCATTTGCAATGCTTCTTATATGACATATCTTCCATTTCCCTTCCCACAATGGGATTCCGAGAAGCTCTTCTGAGAGATACACATTAACCAGGGATAGCTGGCCCACAAACGTAAACCAGACTTGAATCAATACGCCTGCATTAAATTGGCAAATAAAGTGAACATCGGAAGCCTTACATCTCGAAACTGGACCATTCCAATCTCCCCCAGCTCGCTGACACAACAGTAGGCAGCTTCAGACTGAAGGAAGAGCTGACCCAGCGTCATCTCTTCACTCCTGAAAAGTTCCCCCATGTTGGTGTCGGAACTGAACGCGTTGCACCCACAAAACCTCTGGAAAGTGAAGAACAGTGTGGTGTATTATTATTATTATTATTATTATCACAAATAAATGCAAATCCAATTTTCGCTGCAGCTCTTCTCCTGATGGCATGCAGGGGTCAAATGTACGAGGCCATCATCGGCCGTGTGTGAGTTCAGTTCAGCACAAGTGTAAGATGTTGCCATGTGACAGATCCCATGATTAAAGCTGGAATGTGCTTGTTTGAATGGAACTTTCATCTTTAGCATTAGCATTACTAGCATTACTGTAAATACAAGGGTCTGATTAAGTTGCCGGGTTTAGGGCTGATAATCATTAGTAAAAACTTTATCTTGCTTTTTCTGACAGATTGCTAGTATTATTTAGGGTCTGGGTTATTTAAATGATTTTAAATACAAGAATAAATGACAAGCACGTGATGCACATTTAGAAAGAAAATTATAATGCCAAATTATACCAATTATCTTATGAAAATAAAACAAACCAAATAACACTGCCAGATTTGAACTGGCTACATCCATGCTGTTACAGTGTAATTTTATTAATGAGCTTTTATTTGTTTAGCCTGTCTTGATGTTTAACCTCTTGAAAAAGACATTGTTACTACTGTAAAACCACCACAGGGAGCTTATCGATGGGATTATGAGGTATCATGTGACCTGTAGCTCTTGTAAACCTCAACACCCCCAGGTTCAGAAAACCTGTTATTTTTTAAAAAAAAGAAAAAAAGAAAAAGAAAATAAACGCACAAAAATATATATATAATTAATTAATGAATTAATTCATTAATTAAATGTGTTTTAATAAGACGATCCTCGGTCTATTGCGGCTTCTCCATTTACAGCTGGAGATCTTACAGGTCCATAAATAATCAAGATAATGAACCAAACACAGGAGAAGTAGATCGAACGACATTTTTCTAATGTGAAAATTGCTATATACGCTAATGGCAATGATACAACTTGCCCACATTGGCGTTTTTATTGAAATGACAGCTAGTATGCTAGCCCTACTGCTCAACTTAAATTACATCGAACAGCAAAATGACGAAACTCGGTGGAGACACTGGCTTTGCGCTATTAATGTAAACTTCATCTAGAAACAAACACTTGTCATATTTAACCACAATGCCAATAAATATGCAAATTAGCATTTTACAAAGCAAACGGCTAATAAGACAGCTAATGCTAACTAAAGGACACCTGTTCGTCATCTGACATGGTGAGTTTTTAATACAACTGTAGACAACAGTTGTTGGGCTTTTTTCGCTTCCAGTCTTAGTTGTTTTTATCTAACTCTATTTAAAACGAACTGAAACGGTCTTACTGCTCCTAGAAGAGTCCCGTTCCTCTCCACAAGTTTCCGTCTCAGCTTCCTTCTGTTTACTGTGGACTGGTTAGTAAGTTAAAGCTTAAGGCAGACAAGCTGGAGTTCAGTCTTCAAAAGAGGAAGTGTCGCCTTTTTCCTATCCCTCGCTCTGCCCCTTCTCTTCCGAATACCGAGTTTCAGAAGCGCAGTCGCTTACGATATAATTTTGAAAGTCACCACAGGAAGTGTTACAAGTTAGCCTGTCGACTTGACTACACCTAGCCACTTCTGTATTGTTAAACCGCGGATAAAAACTTACTTATATTATTAAATTATATTTAAATTAACATAAATAAACATTTTAGGAACTATGTTTAGAGTTGTTTGTTCTTCTTCCACACTAACAAACACATACACGTCATTATTTTTCTGTACCATTTATTAAGAACACTAATATTAGTGCAAGGCATTTTGTTGAGAATTCTAGTTTATATCTAACAAATATACAAAAAACAACAAAGGGAAACATTTTATGTGATGTATTTAAAATACACGAAGTAGATTTGATAGGAAACATTAATATAAATTATAAATTTGTATCCCAGCAGTCAACAGTGTGACAAG